GAAGCCCTCGTGCCCCGTTTCTGAGCCCGCCGCGGCGCCCGGCGGAGGCAGCAGCAGAGCGAGTGTCGCCTTATTCATCCGCCCGCGCGCTCCGCGTCCGCGGGGAGCGGGCGCCCGGCCCCGGGGCGCTCCGGGAGGCCGGGAAGAGCAGCCGGAGACTCTGGGAGGAGGCAGGAGGCTGCTCTCCAAGGGGCTCTTCCGCGCACGGGCCCCACGGGCCGGGAGGGAAGTTCTCCGGAGCGATCCAAGGAACCAGACCAAAGCCTTCCGGCGCCGCCGGCTCCCTCGGCGCCGCTTTGCCGGGACAAGCCAAAGCGCGCCGGCAAATCCCGGCTCCGGAGTTGCAGAGCTTTTAACGGAGGGGTTTTTAACACTGTTCTTAGTGTATATACAATTATTTTTTGCTGGTACTGAGAGAAACACATAGTTGCAGTTGGACTTTATTTCCCTTTTCTTCCCCCCCGGGTTGAGGAGCTCATCGGAGCAGCCCCCCCCCCCCCCCGCAGCATATTTTTTAATTTTTCCTTTTTTTTTTTTTTAACCTTTTTTGGGGGGGCGGGAGGGGAGCCGAGGGGCTCCAGCTCGGGCACCTGCACCCAGCAATAACCCCGGGCGGGCAGGAGCGGCCGCCCCGCGCGCGGTAACTCTTTCTACTTGATCAAGCTACTTCCATACTACCTCTGTTCTGCCGAATAGGATTAACTTGGCTCCATTTTGCTGAGCCCCCCTAACTGACCTTTCGACTGAGTCACATTAAAGCTATTTTTGATAATAGGGCTAAAGAGCGACGCGGGAGGACGGCGCCGCGCGCGCTCGCCGCGCTCCCCTCTGCGCTCCCTTCTGCAACTTTAGCACTGCAATGTTTGCACAGATTTTTGTTGTTGTTGTTTTATTCTCTTTTCCTCGGTTTTGTAACTCGACATCCCGCGCCGGCCTCGGTCCGGCCCCGCGGAGAGCCCCGGTCCTGCGTTATTTTTTTTTTTCCCCCTCCGCAACCCCCGCGAAAATAAAGCCGTGAATGGTACCGCCGAGTCACAGAGTGGAACCGGCCCCCGTTTTGGGTCATTTTGGTGTTTTCCAGCCACCCCCCAATCTATGCAGCCCCTTCCCGGGCTGGTGCCACCGGGGAGCGGGACAAGCGCACGGGGCGGCTCTGAGCCCGGGGATGTCACCCAAAGCCTTATCCTCACCAATTTGGGGGCGAATGCGCCTCTTTTGCCACTTTATCAGACGTGCAAACCCCCAATCCAGCTCTTTTTTTCCCCAGGGTTTCATTTGGGGCCCCGGGCAGTGGAGGAGATCCCACACTCGCCACGTGTCCTTGCGGCAGCTGCTAAAATCCACTAAAAGCATCTAAAAAAACCCGTTGTTTCACACCAAAAGTGTCTCTCCCTGCTCTTCTCAGCGGGGAGGGGGAAGCACATTTTGGGTTATTATTTGCCAGCTTATGGTGCAGAGGAGCAGCAGGAGGACGCAGGGAGCTCCGCCAAGGTCCGTTTTCCCTTTTTCTGGGTGATTTTTGGGGAAATCCAGCCCTGGATGCAGCTTTGCAGGCTCTTCCCTCGCTCCGCCGCTTCTCCCGGGCACTTGGCAGCATTTTACGAAATCCAAAGCGGGAGGGTGAAAAGAAAAACAGATTTCAGGTAAAGCTGCATTTCCAATGAAAATAGGGGAGAAACATTTAGTTCAAGGGCATCCCAGCCCTGCTGCATCCCTGGGTCATGGGGAGGGAAGTCCCTGCCTCGTTTCCCCCCTACCAAGGGCTTTTTAAGGTCATTTTTGTTTCCTTTGTGGTGAAACGATTTCCTTTTCTTTTCCAAGAGACTATTAAATGCAGCTCCTATTTATTGGAAGAGGCTCTTCATCTTCCACCCTACCCTTTTCGCAAGCATCCCAAATGCTGGGGTGTTTTGCGGCACTTCAGGGCTCTGCGCATCTGTCCCCACCGTCTCACCTGGGATTTTTGGACAAACTTTTGAGCTCCTGGGTTGGTTCCGCAGTCCTTAATTCCCACCATTTCTGTGTTTGATGAGCGAGCAGGGTCGCTCCGAGCCCGGCGCGGTGTCCTCGGGCTGTACCCGCATCCTCCGCTTGTGCTGCCCGCGCGTCACCCGCAATAAACCGAGTTCAATCGGCCGGGCCGCTGCCGGCCGCGCTCTCTGCTTCTTGCTGGGCCTGAGACTCCCCAAATCCTGGTTTTCCACCATCTTTTTTATCCCCCAATCCCTCCTTTCCAGACTGGGATTTTCCCCCCATTCCAGGCCCTGCTTCCAGCCTGGGGGCACCGGTTCTTTTGCACGGCC